GTACTCCCGGTCAGCTAGAAGATCATGGACATTGTATGAAGTGCTGCGGCAAGTGGTGAGATCTGTCCATTTCTTGTCCACTGTGTCCCATATTTCCACACTGTAGGATTGCACTGCACTCCCACCATCATACGAAGAGCCATACCATGAAAGGGTGAGGGAAGAACTCCGAATATCAGATGCACAGGGGGTTCCTGCTGGAGGATCGGGCTTATCTGCAGATAGGGAAATGTATATGCAATGTATTATTACTGCTGTTGTTATTGGTTACTTGTTGAACTTATTTTCTGCCTATCTTTCTGTGGGGCTACTCTAGGTGGCTTACAATAATAAAAAAAGAAAAGGGAAAGGAGTGTGAATAGAATTAAAATAATAGAACAATAAAATACAAAATGAAAAAGAGAATACAACAAGAATACATCAATATGATAATCAAAAACAATCATTACCTCAGCAAATCCACTTTCTTATTTCTCATACAGAGGAAAGGGTAAGCTTGAAGTAAATTTGAAAAATTTAGTTTTTCTCAAGACAGCAAGTCACACTTTAAGACTTTACCTACATAGTGTGGGACACAAACTTGTTAGATTTGAAGAATCCTAGAGTGTTTCTGTAATCCTGCACTCATAACTTACTTAAATCATGGATTCAACAATGATATTTTATACTCAACACTCCTTACCTTTCATTTATCATTCTTATTTAGAAGACAGTAAGAGACAGAAGTGATTTGTCAGCAGGCGAGTCTTTGGTCATGCAATTATTATCCATCGTAGTACTTTATGCTACATGCCAGAATCAAGAGATCATTTTTGGTCAAGATACTGAACTGATATAAATCAGCATATTAAGGTCTGTGTTTCATGTGGGGCTGTGCTACCTCTGATATTTGCATGCGGAAAAAAATCTATGCTACATTAATGCACATTTAGTAAATCACACATTCACAGCACACATACACATATGGTTTCCTGCCATAGTGCCACACCCTAAAATGAAGGTAAGCATTTTCTTGTCCAGAGATAACAGAATCTTTCATACTTTCTCTGACGGATGAACAGATATTAACACAATTAATACAATTAAAACCAATAGAGTGTATTGAAAATTAATGATTTGGCTCTATAGCAGGCCTTTCAAATACTTTGAATTTGTTAAGGCTTTCATAGACTCTTTAAATCTCTCTAAACAGCTCATTTATTTTCTAGAGTACAAACTTAAAAATGGTTTTAGGTAAGTATTAGATGCAGTAGCCACAAATGATAGATAACATTTTGTACTTAATGCATTAATTGTATTTGGATCCCTTCTTTCCAACTTCCCTTTTAAAAGTTGCAAGTAGTTTAAGGTTAAGAATTTTCTATACAGACTATTTAAGGCCCAGAATCAGATACATTATTATCCTAGTTGCTATATCTATCTATCTATCTATCTATCTATCTATCTATCTATCTATCTATCTATCTATCTATCTATCTACCTACCTACCTATCTCTATCTGTATGTGTATGTATATGCATATGCATATGCATATGTATATAATAAAAAGCTAGCCATAATTTAAAATAAAAATTCAGTTTCTAAGAGTGAAGATTAAAGTTTGGAACCCAGCACAATACATAACTGTAAAACTAAATCAATTTAAAAGAAACATAAATCTTCTGTTACTTGTATAGGTGTACTAACAGCAAAAGAGCAAACCATTTTTCAGTCCTAAAAAATTAGGGCTGAATTTTTCAAGGAACTGGATAAAATGCTTCCGTACATAAAAGCTATTTTACTGAACAGTGCAATCCTAAATATATTTACTAAGCTAATATAACCAATAGTAATAATGTAAGTTAGAATTGCTAGGTCAAGACTCATTGTTCCTTATGCTACATACTATAACAGGCTACAAAACCATCATTCCCTAATTTATGGCCCATATTGGAAAAGTTGGACGAAGACAATAAGGTGCAGATGCCATGGGGTAGGGTAAGCAAGGGAACCCTAACAATGGCTACCACCAAAGGCAGCCTCCAAACTGAGAAGCATCATGCCTTGAAAACATATGTTGAGAGAGACAAAGACAAGGTTTTGACTTCTAATGGGCTTGCCAGCTTCCCAGAAGAACTGGTTGACTGCTCTGGGAAACAAGATGCTCTATTTGTTGAAACATCAACTAGAATCACTGCAAAGCTCTATTTTTAATGAATGGACTTTAAATACTACTAACTTCAATGGAATCTGTTTTCAAGCATCTATATTTGGCTGCAGCTTTATGGCAAATGCTATTAATTGATATCAAAATTAATGGATTGTGTTCATGTTTATTCAGTAGGGGAGAAAAAGACTGGATATAAGAAGTGATATTTATGAATGGGCTCTGTGTGTTACTGTGTATGAATGTTAAAACTTTCTTAAGGCATGGAAGAAATCATTACAGCTGGAAATATTGCAGATAAATACTGGTAGATTTATGTTTGGTACAATTATGTCATATTCATTGTGTAGTGTTAGTGAATACCCATTACTGGGTCTCTCCCTTGTGTTTTAAAAACATGGATGTTTTGTTTCCCTCTTGGCAGGTCTGATTAGCTGTAGTAGTAGCATTCACAAGTAATGTTTTGGTTTTTATTTAAGAAGTTCTTTAGTGTTTAATCTTCAAGTGTCGATATGTTATTACTTTTAATTTTTTGTGCAGTATAAGCAGTATTAGAAAGCATTTGGAAAGGAAAAAATGCAGAGTAAATTTCTCTCTCCACAAATTTGTGTTTAATTTGCCAGCAATAATAATTTTTGTATTATTATTATTATTATTATTATTATTATTATTATTATTATTAAATTTATCAGCATTATAATGACATTGAGTAGCATGAAAAAGCATTTGATAAAGTGACTAAATTAGTGGATCAAGGAAATGCTGGTGATATAGTACATTTAGATTTCAGTAAATCATTTGGTAAAGTAAATCTCAGCCTGTTTCTTTGTAAGACAGAACAATGTGGGATAGGCAATACCACCATCTGATAGATAATTGTAGTGGGCTGACCAAACAGATTCAGCATATGGCTGTCAATGGAACTATATCTACATGGAAGAAAGCATGCAGTGGAGTACCTCAAGGTTCTATCTTAGGCAAAACATCTTTCAACATCTTCATAAATGACCTAGATAAGATAAACAAAGAGGTGCTCAGCAAATTTGCAAATGACACCAAGCTTGGGGGAACTGCTAACACTCAAGATTTAGAAGACTCTTGACACACTTAAGCATTGGGCCCTATTCAACAAGATACAATTCTGCACTTAGGTAGGAAAAACCAAATGCACAGGTACAGAACAGTTAGAACCTGGCTCAACAGTAGTGCTTGAGAGAGCGATTTAAGAGTCTTGGTGGACCACTGCTCAAATATGAATCAGGTGCCAAAAAAGCCAGTGCATCAAGGTTGTATCAACAACATTCCCTATTGATGCTGCTTGTCAGAAAGTCACAAAAAGTGATCACATGACCTCAGAACAGTGCAACTGTCATAATTATGAGACAATGGTCAAGCTTCTGAATTTGGATCACATGATGCTGTAACAGTAATAAGCCTGAAAATGGTTATAATTCATTTTTTTCAATGCTTCAAATGGTAACTGAATGAACTGTCGTAAGTTGAAGACTACCTGTATTTGTTATACAAGCTTGTTCTGGATCACATTGTTTCTAAAAAATGAGCACAAATATTTCTATGCATGCTGAAAATTTATATATGTAGCCATATATACCTGCACATAATTATTCTCAGAATTTGACAGCAGAAGTCAACGGTAGAATGTAACTTGTTTTAGTTCCCTGCAACCAGGTCACCAATTACAGCACTTTAATTTTTTTCTCATGAGCAAGTAAAGAAAAAATTACAAGAACATACATGGACATAACTGAAATAGGAATATCTAAGCCCTTCTTTCTAAGGATCTAATAGATTTATTCTGTCTATCCTATGAATGGTCAGTAATTACTACATTCCGTTGCTTCCAGGATGATATCGAATTATGTTTACATGAATTCTACAGCCTTCCAAACTCTTAACTGATTCATCTCCTTGGAAGTACAAGAGCTAGTTTTGCTATGCCATCTCTCATTCTATGTAATTACAGCCTGTGTATTTTTATTGTCACTTATGCATTTATTTCTATTTATATCCCACATTTTTGCCCATAGGAACACAATGTCCCATTATAGAAGCAGGGTGCACCCAGGGTAGACGAGTAAAACCTGGGCCCAGACAAAAATGCTGTATTAATTTTAGTCTACTAAGCATTGGAAATATTTAAAATATTGCCAGTAATTTCAACAATTTAAAACAGACACCATGGCCTGGAAAGGTTAAGCAAACATTCACACTGGACTTCACACTTAGATGCTCATATCATGCCAATCCTATGCTTCTTAAATTTCATTTTTCTAAATAAGCATTCCCATGCTTTCACAATCAGTCATAATTAATTTTCTGTGGTGGTTTCTGAGATACAGCCAGAGTATGAAACAGAAGGGACCAACAATTGAGCTTATCCAGCAGTTTTAAAATTAGTTGTGTTTATTTGGTTCATTTCTATATTCATAAAGGATGTAGTATGGCCTAACAAGCGTGTAGGAGGACAATTATGAGTGCATCTTATCACTGAAATCTTGAATTACATCAGGAAGAAGAGTAAGCTTCAAAGCTTCAATATGCTGGCTTTTAGATATTAATATTACAACAAGCAGTGGCACATGACTAATATTGCAAAACTGGTGTATTTAACTTTATTAAAACTGGTTCAAATAAATGGAAATGCTGCTCATTGGGCTATTATAGGGGAGGCTGAGATCTTTGAGAAAATCCCTTTTGTCATAATTAAAATGTGTGAGGGGGGCTGCTTTCAGATTTTGAAATGCTTTGCCAAGGATGCTCACACAAGCCTCCTTTCTTTTATTTTTTAATCAGTTTGAAAAATATTGTTATTAAGGCAAGTCTCTGTTATCTAAGATAATTTGCTAGGTGGTGCTGTTTGTGTTGTAATTGTGTTTTCAATAATGTTTTCATTATCCTTGAAACAGTAAGAGCTTTTTAAAAAGTAATTGACCTTTTTGTCAAAATCTTGAACACCAATTGCTGGTGTAAAGGCAAACATAAATAAAATAAAAATCAAATAACTCTGGGTGGACAATAGTAATATGGGATGTGGGTTCTTCCTTGTGCACATTCTCAAAATCAGTTATCCAGAGGCATTAGCATTCATTTCAAAATTCTAGCTTCACAATTCCAACAGTTTACTCACAGACTGTTCTCCATTCAGGATGGAAGCAGCTTCTCAAGAAAGTTTTCTTTAGATACCTTAGCTCCTTTTTGAGTGATCATATTACCATTCCACACCATTATTAGCTATTGAGAAACTTGCCAGCCAGATAGAGAGCAGGCATAAAGCAACAATTAATTCTTTTCCATGGGCTCGTCTGTTTAGCCAGAGAAGGTATTTAATATACTGCTAAAGCTGGCTGGATGATGTCCATGCCGACATTACTGGCAAAGGCTGCACTTGAGATTCATTTGTGAGAGAAAAATGAAACCATAAAAGGCCATAACTGAACTCTAAGTTACTGCTCTCAGGGCTTGGGGTCACTGTAAACGTCTCTGCTTTCATTGGAAAAAAAACATTGTGTAGCTTATATTTTCAAGGGAGGAAAGAACTGTAATTTAAAGGCATTATTCTACAATATATAGATGTTAATGGATTCTATTTTTAGAAAAAAAATGGATTTAGACAAGAAATGGGTAAGTTTTATTTAAAAAAATCTTCATGTAGTCATTAAGTTCCATAATAAACAGAACTTTCTCATAAAACTATCTTTTTCAACACTGAAGCTACAGTGAACTTTAATTCTCTATGAGAGCTTCTTTGCTTCCTAAAAGGTGTCAGTTGAGTAGACAAATTATCTAATGTGGTATCTTTGATTATGTTATTTTACAACACTTTCTCTAGTTAAATCTTATAGCTAAAATAAATAATTATTGAATGACAATACTGAATTCCAATGATTTCTTATGCATTTATGAAAATCTTGGAAAGTGTCTTTTCATCTTCATACATTACTATATAACTTGCTGTGATAATATTTAGAAAATTTTAAACACTGAATTATATAATGTTTCCAATTTTTTCTGCAAAGTTGAGAGACTTTCATCAAGGCTCATAAAGATAAAAAAGTATAAGTAAGATGAGCTACATACTGGGTAATTAAAAAAAACCAAACCTCAATGTAAAAAAATGCATTGTTTTTGCAAATAATGTTAGTATTACAACCATGAAATAGATAGTGGCAGCTATATTAATAAATTTTGGAAAGGAAGGTTTCTAAAATCTTTTATTGACTCCTTTGAAGTTACCATCTCCAAGCCAAAAATTCCTGAAAATTTAACGTACTTCCAATATTTTGTAAATTTACACATGTCTTTATGCTATCAGATAACAAGGATCAAACTTTATGAATTTAAGATTAATATTTTTCCAGGGAAACATTTTTTTAACTTGAGTAAAAGGTGTCAATTTCCAAATTTATCGGACAAACAATTTGCTTTTCTCTTAAACAATCTAAATCACTCAATATTTATGTTTTGTTTCTCTGTCTTTGTAGTTCTTTCATATGTAACCTGGAATATCCCAACTCTACTATTTTACTTGCTGATTTTTCCATCAATACATTTTTTTGGATCTGGAATAGCCTGAAATATGCTCAACTATAGGGAACAAAAAGAGGAAGTTATCCAATACCTTTAGTCAATCAATCAAATCATCTAGCTTAGTAAAGCTACACACTTCTTTCAATTTCACATTTGAAAAGAAAAGATCATCATAACTCACACCAATGGTTATTATAAACAGGCATTTTATAGCTTGTACTACCTGAAATTTAACTATTTTGACAGCTCATGCTAATTTTCCCAGTACAATAATAAAAAACCTTCCTGCATCAACCTGACCTAGCTAAGAAAATATATTCTACCATAAATTATAGCCATGTTTAAAATGATAGTAGATGGTTGTTGGAAATAACAGATACAAATTTACACATTCTTATTAAAGAGATACAGATATAACAGAGAATTGTTGCTAAGGAAAATAATGCTATCTGTTGCTGTGCTTCTGGCTAAACGTCCGCCCTCAATGGCTTAAATATCTTGGCATCCTCATGAAAGGTGTTCCTCAACATCTCATACCTTCTTGGATACCCTGTGCAAAATGAGAATGGTGATTCCCCTTTTGCTATCTGGGCATTCTCAGCCAACAGCATTGCACACCATTCTAGCTATGAACAAGATCCTGACACAGGGATAGTCCTGTCAGTCAAGGCAAAGAAGTGCAGAAATAAACAGTGTAGTAGTTGGGCTTCCATTAATCCTGTTTTTTGTCATAGCATTAGCTGCTCACATTATATTTATCATTGTGGGAGAGCCAAATACAGGAGATTGCTATGTTAAATCTTTCTATGGTACACTTCTCAAGACAAATAAAATTACTAAGGGAGGTCGAGTAACATATAGGTGGCCTAGGAAAAAACACGACATTTTTGGAGTGGAATGTGGGATACAAAATAGATGAGGTGACTTGAAGGTCAGGCTTTAGGTTTGGGGTTTTCCATTCTGATATGTCAGTTATAGCACTTGCACTTTAATCTGCTTCTAATAACAAAATAGTGCAAAGTTTTGATCATAGAAATCATGATCAGAAAGAACCCCAAGAAACAAAAGGGCCTCTGAGGTCATAGTGCTCCTGAATTTACAGGTTGTTCATTTCTGTTCTTGAACAGGAATACTTCACTGAAGGTGTTCTCATTCATGTTTACTCAGTGCAGGAGGAAACTATTCAAAGTGAATTGAGGGAAGACTGCCCAGAACAGAAGCTACTGTTAAAGACAGTAGAAAGAAAGATGAAAATGAAAGTGCAAACCTACTGCTGCTGAAAAGCATGGGTGTTTTTGAGAATTGGATCAGTACTAAAACATTATAATAGCAGCCTTGGTTCATCATTCACACTAAAAGCAGGTTGGAACAAACCTTTAACAACCTTACAGAAGTTAAATCTAGTTAATATCAGGACAATTTCATTCTACAATCTCAATCTGTATATAGACAGTAGAAGACAGTACTCCAACTTCTTATTGAAACAATTCTTCTTATTTGTTATATATTAATAATTTCCCTTTGAATTAGTATTGCTTTTTAAAGTTAATTTATTTTACAACATCTAATTATATAGCTAATTATCTATAATTAGACAAATAGCTCAAGTACTCCAAATGAAAATACAACCTGATTCTAGAAACATGAAAAACAAAAATAAAACCAACATTTTTTGTACTTACCTACAACTGTAAGGTTAACTTGGGCTTGCTTACTACCCAGCTTGTTTTCCACTACTAAAGTATAACATCCACAATGTTCCTGCTTTGTTGAGGAGATGGTCAGCATACTGCTATTCTCAGCATTCTCAATTTTGATGTGTTCATTTTCTTGGAGCTGCCAAATTAAAACAGGTAGATTAATATAGATATTCTAAAATAGAGTAAACTAGGATTTCATAGGATAAATACACCAATATTAATAGGAAATGATAAAAGAAGTGTGTTTGGCTGATTATAATATTCTGTCTTTTCTTGAGATCACCCCTGTATATACTCTCATGTGATATTAATCTCATTTTTAGTCAAGAAAAGCCTTAGAGAAGATATTCCTATCCCACTGATAGACTTGACTTTCAACCCAATCTCATCTAAGAATGCTTAGAATGAAGAAATTATGAACATCTCACCCAATACAATCAAACTTTAAATTTAAAATTGCACCTTTGGCGGGAAAGAGAGAAAATGAAATTTGATTTTGTGTTTTAACAATTAAAGTGAATTATTAATATAGAAATGACTAGTAGTTACTATTTTGTATAACTAAAAAGTTGATACTGTAACTTTATTATGTTTCTTACTGCACCAAAAATTGTCTGAAGTTACTGCTTGTTTCTTTTATTTCTTTTTCCTCTCCCCTCACTTTATCTCCTCTATCCCCTTTCTTTTCCCCTTTTTTCTATCACTTTTATTTCTATTTGCATTTTATATTAAGAAAACACTTTTAATAAAAATATGTTTTTAAAAATTAAAGCTATGACATAGGGGATTTTTTTTTTGCTGTCAAAGTAAGCCACATCCTTAACCAAAAGTTGTTAATAGTCCTAATCATAAATTTTCTTGGAGACAATCAAATAAATATTGCTTTCCTTTGATAGTAGTTCTACCATTTGGATTTGCTTCAGTATTACATTTTTAACCTAATTAATTATACTCAGCAAGAGCAAGTGGCTGTAAGTACAAACAATGTATTAAATAATATTTAATATTAAATGCTAGAAAGGCAGTTTTAAATTGCATACACATAAAATTAATGCTAACATTTAATACTTTGCTCATTTCAATATTCTGATTTTTAACCAAATTACAAAAAGATATTCAACCAGTCCTTAAAAGATTTATTGTGGATTTTATTACTTCATTTCTTTTACTAGATTAACATTAACAGAAGAACTTGGAGCATTTACATTTGTTTGTCTTCTAACTTTGGAATTATCTAGTGAGAATTCCATATCTACTTATATGCACACAGGCTTCTTTCCAGTAGTTACTGAAATCACACTAGAGACTAAGAAACATATTGGGAAGAGGCATCATTGGCAGCTTACACAAGTAGCATTTACTTCATCCATTACCTCCCAAGTAGCATTTTGAAAATAAGCTCTTGAGTTTTCCCAGTTGGAACTGTTGGTCTTCCCAAATCTTACTCTGGATTCCATTACTTTAGATTGGGAAATATCAGTGAGAAATTGATATGCATAAATTGGAGTCAGTAAAAATATTATTTAATTATAAGCATATAAAGAAAAGCACAGATTATTCTAGATGTGAAAATACTTGGGTCAATGACTTTTATGTCATTCCATTAATTTCCTGTTAGAGAATAGTTTTTCCAGTTCATCTGTAGAGTTTTATAAGAAGTAAAGGCTATTTAGTTTGGCTTTTCTTTCCATAATTTTTGAGATTTTTAAAAAAAAATCATGAACATTGTAAATCGTGTATTGGTTAAACACTAAGTTGATCCTACAGAATAAGTCGTATATTCATAATTATTGTCGGAGAAGACAGTATTTTCTATTTGCATTGTTTTGTCTTTTCTTCAAGTCCCTTCATTTCTTTTATTAGTGCTCAACAAGTGCTCCAGATATGGAATCCAGATGTTCCATGTAACCAAAGAACTAAATACCCATATTAGCAGTATTTCATTTGCAATTGTGCATTAATACAATTCCTGTAGTAGGGATCTTCTGATCAATGAAAATAATAATAATGGTGTGGTATGATGGTACTGCCAAAACTGGAAATCCTTGAAAAAGATATTGATTTTAAAAAAACATTCAACATTGCAAGTTTGGCAACAACTGTTCTGTGTTAATGTATGTAATAGTTTGATGTTATTGTGTGTCCCTGAATTGGATTTCATGATTATGCTGCAGCACATTTTCCACTACAGATGATTTTTTTAGTTGTGTGTTTTTTTCTTGTGTTATTTCAGTTAAATTCGGAAACTGTTTTGTGATACCGATATACAACTGCCAAGAGGTAGACTTAGGATGCTATGAATAGAGTCTCTGTTGTCCTTGGCTTTCCTGGATTTTTTTTAGTCCACCAAAACAATTCTGATCAAGCACAAGCCAAGAACCAATCAGAGATAAGCCCCTACCTGCACCAATGAGAAATCCTTTTGGCTAAAGACCAATCAAAAGTCAGGTCACCTGGTTATAAAAAATGGTAAGTTTTGCTCCGTTTCTGTGGCCTGAATCTCTGAAGATGCCAGCCAAAATTGCTAGTGAAACATCAGGAAATTATTGTCTAAACCAGTCTCTAAACATCTGAAGTTCAATATTATCTAACAGGCCATTTTACATCAGTATGATGAAGAATATAGCTTTCTTCACCTAAAGGTTATTTTAGTTTAAAAAAACCTATCTATTTCTATTAATAACCTTGGCTCTAAGGTATGGAATTGTGAATATAAAATAATGATGCATAAGCCTCAACATTCACCAAGGTTATATTTGAGTTTGGGACTTATAGCCTGAGACAATAATAAAATATCAGTAGCTGTCTTCCACTGTCTCCATAGCAGGCTAAGTTCAGACTAAGTAATATACACTGTACTCTGTGAGAAATATCAGAAGAAGTTGAGACAGGGTGCCCAGCTGTTATATATTTGGGTTAATATTATATATTTACCTCTAATAGTGTACAATACTGTCAGTTCAACTATACATTATATTTTAGAAGCAAAAATAAAAAAGGTTTTTCAATTGTTGTAAAGAGGGACAAATATTAAGCTATTTTGGATATAGCTAACTGTGTTATTTATAGTTCAATGAATATTATTTAAATAATGAGGTGATTAAAATCAGGATTGGGATATAGTAGGTCAAGAAATTTAACATTTTTTTACAGTTGTAGAGGTTTTTTTTTGTTCAACCTACATCTTGCAGCAGTGTAAAAAAAATTAATCTTTCTACCAGTATATTCAATTTTCAATCCTTGAGAATGGGATTGTTGTGTCTATTTTCCTTTTTTTTAAAAATCTCATTTTTTAAAAAACTAGAAAGTATCTACATAAGGCCAGCAGCATATTTAGTGCTAAATTAATATGTCCATTTCTGTGCCCCAAAACCAGAGATAGCGCTAGCACTTACTTATATACTGCTTTACAGTGCTTTACAGCCTTCTCTAAGCAGTTTACAGAATCAGCATATTGCCCCCCAAAATTTGGGTCCTCATTTTGGCCACCTTGGAAGGATTAAAGGCTGAGTCAACTTTGACTTGCAGGCAGCTGGCAGTCAGCAGAAATAGCCTGCAGTACTGCACTCTAACCACTGTGTCACTGGGGCTTATATTAATTAATTAAACATATATCACAATGGCTTCCTTTACCACAAATGCATTCAGCTGGCTGAGGGATTTTGGCTGAGGAATTCTGGAAATTGAGATCTACATATTTTCAAATTGTCAAGGTTAAGAAACACCGGGCTAGAGAGTTATTTTTACCAGAATTTCATAGCTTTAAACCATTTTGCCCTCTCCAATGTATATTTGTTTACAAAGCAGCTTTTGGTTATTTACATACCACAAGCAAGAAATTATTTTCAATCTTGAGGAAAATTCCATAAATCTCTTTTTTTAGATTCCCTTTTCTATCATACAATTTATGATTAAAAGAATAGCAGCAACAATTCTATTACCTGCTTCCGAAATTTCATCCAAGTACATATTAAAGGTGGGGTTCCTGCTACTTTGCACAACAGCTCTACTGATTCACCAGACCTTACTTTCTGGTCTTCTGGGAACTGAACAATTTGAGGAGGAAGAGCTGATAAAAAGAGGAAACACTTTTGAGTATTTTTTTTCAGAGGTAAAAATTACAAAAATATTGAAGCGGATATATAAAATATAAACCAATTGTTTATCCAGTCCCAAAGCTAGATCTAACAAAAATAAAGGATCTGGTTTTGGTTATGATAATATAATCTTTCAACTTCTATTTAATAGTTCAATGCCTACTAGCAAAATATGTATCCAAACTAAGGAATCGGTAAACCTCTTTTGAGTTAAATTCATGAATGATCATTAGTCAAACCTCAAAGGACGGAGGAAGCTTTATAAATCTGTGCGGATAAAACAGTCCTGGAAAAGAAATCTGCCAGTGTCCTTGCCATACAATTGACCATCCAGATCTTTCTCGCTTATCCAAAGCTCACTTTGGATAGTCATGGTGAGAATGATAATCCACTATAAAATGCACTAACAACTTTGCCAGACTGTCGAAACTAACATTCTAAGCCCAGTCCAAATTCAGAGATTCTTTACAGAGGAAAAAGCATTCCAAGGTTATGCTGGCTATTCTAGCAATCATCCTATACAAAGTAAAGATGTGGAGGCTTCCTACTTCCATAGAAAGTCCTCTTGATCTTAGGATCTTTTTGGTTTAGACTTAGAGAGCGTTTTATATTCCCTGTTTCAGATTTTAGGGGAACAAATCTGTTTTAAATTATTTAAATTAACCCGGGTCTTGGAATAGTTCATTTATTCCTTTTCCAATTCTTTTAGTAGAATAATAGGATCACATGTAAACCTTTCAGCAAAATACAGGGTTTAAACATTTTCAGTAAATACATACTGTCCTGAACTACCTACTCATGGCTCGCAGTCTTTTCCATACTAATAGCAATTAGTGAGCAATTAATACCTGCTTTGGGTGGAGTTTTGGGAGCAGGTTTCTTCTTTACAGTTGCCTCACCTAGTAAGGAAAAAAAAGTGCAGCTAGTTCAGTTGTTGAATGTTGAAACTCTTACTTATCCAACAGATATTATCATATCTTATCGTAGACAACATCCGCTTATAAATTATGCTTTAAGGATGAGACACTGGTACTCTCTACCCAAGAAGAGTTTCTTAGTGGGAAATAAATGTGTACACAGGTCACTGTATGAGGTAACAAAGGTAAATTGCATAACAAAGCTTATGATGAAACTCCCAAAAGCTCTCACAGCTGTAGAAGTTCTTTATCTGGGTAGGGTTCAAGGGAAAAGTACGCTCTAACACAGAGGTGTCAAACTCAGGGCCTGTGAGCTGGATGCATCTTGTGCTGGCCCCACCCCCACCCGGTTTAACGAAGGGGGAAAAGTCCTGATACGTTACATAACGCTGCCGTGATGATGCAAGTTTGACACCCCTGCTCTAACATATCTTTTCTTATTGAGGACCTTTAAATCCACACTTTTTAACCAAAAGGTGAAGCTTATGCATATAAAACATTAAGGTTCAACACTTTCCTCAGCACATCTGCAGAAAATAGAATTTTGACCATGGCCTTGAGGCATTGATAGAAATATTTCTATCCTTTTCCCTGTGGTTTGTCTCCTGTTCAAACTAAGTGAAGGAGATATGTTTACTTTTTTTACAACACCAAACAAAAAACAAAATAGGAATTTCAGATATGGAAGTTTTCAGCTTAAGATAACAGGGAAAGATAGCATGAATTCATAGAAACTGGAGCCATGACAATAAATATTTTCAGTGTATAGTGTAATAATAAAATAAAAAAGAGAAAATTCCCCCCATAAATATTGTGCTTAAACACATTTCTACAATCAACAAATTGAGCAGGCTCACCAAAATACCCAAATTAAAAACTGAAAATTATCCTAATTCATTTTCTTTTCTATATTTTGTGCTAATGTCCAGTATACCTGGAAGTTTGTGAAAGCACAGGAAGGATATAAAAATTGTGGAAGGATGGACCACACTCCAAGGATCACATTGAATGCATCTTAGGCTTATGCAGGGTAATAATTAATTTGGTAAATATATTTTTCTTTCTGTCTCACATATGCACAAAATCCATCCCTCTCTTAAAGGATATGGGAGTGTCTTTAGTGATCAAATACTCATGGGATATCAGAACAAGACTGAAGAAAAACTTCCTTTCTTTATTTAGCCTTTAGTCTTTATTATATGGCCTCCCATCTCACAAAAGTGACATCAGTAAAAATAAAAAAAATATCATATAAACACATAAAAAGTTATTATTAAAAATGAAAAAACCCTACAAATTATATATAGCATAGACTAACCTGACTTAGTATTTGTCTTTTTTCCATCAAAAAACAGGATGAAAATAAAACTTCATGTCATTAAAAGACTGTAGCTTTAACCTGAAGAAAAGTGCACACCACATGGGAGAAAAATCTACCTCCTGGGCCTGCAGCTATGAAACTTTTGTCATGCCATTTGCTACAATCCCATAAGAAGAGATGTTCAGAAGGACTGTGTTTGTTCCTGTCCCAGTCTCTTTCTCCTGTTTCCCTTTTCAGGCATTTTACTAAAAATAGAAATGCAGAACTCTCAACTCCTCTAACCTCTCAGTGAATAGCTCTCTGTGCAGTTCCGGTCAGAGCAAATCCACAAAAATGGGGGGAAATACATGCAACTGCACAGTGACCATCTCCTCCACATATCCTTAAAACTCTGTTCCACCAAGATTGCTTTACCCAGACACAGGTTCCCCAATGGGAAGTCTGTGCCACGAATGTATTTGGCCCTATGTACCTGCAAATGTACTTTTTTTACTAGCCATTTCGATTTCATGCAGAAAAAAAGGCAAACAGATAGTTCAAAGCAGTGGTGGGATTCAATTTTTTTTTACTACCGGTTCTGTGGGCATGGCTTGGTGGACATGGCAGGGGAAAGATACTGTAAAATCTCCAGTCAGAGGTGGGATTTGCTGGTTCTCTGAACTACTCAAAATTTCCGCTACCAGTTCTCCAGAACTGGTCAGAACCTGCTGAATACAACCTCTGGTTCAAAGGCAATTCAAGTTGTTTGTTCACAGAGTGCCAGAGTAAATTTCTGACAAGATTTACCATCCAAAACAAAAGAAGACTCAAGTGAAAATTGAGATAGGTGAAGGCAGCATTCGGCTAGTAATATGAAAAATAAGTAGCATAACAGTAAAAATAAGAGGGTTCCTGAACACTGGTAGAGCACCAGTGGTGCAGTGGTTAGAATGCAGTATTGCAGGCTAATTCTGCCAACTCCCAGCAGTTCAATCCTAACAGGCTCAAGCCTTCCATCCTTCTGAGGTCAATAAAATGAGGAGCCAGATTGTTGGGTGCAATATGCTGAATCTGTAAAATTATAGGGGCTCTAAAACAAGGTGAAGTGGTATATAAGCCTTATTGCTATAGTGTGAAAAAGCTGCTCTCAAAAAAAAGGCCAAAATCCAGGAGGTGCAAATGGTATTTTCCTTATTTTCCCATCTAGCCACTTATAGACATTATCAGACTCCTGCAATTTTTTTTCTTGAAAAAATAGTTCTTGAAAATTTAAGAAAATGTGGCATTTATAAGCCAGATTGAAGTGAACATATAAACAACCAGATTACCCTCCTTAAAAGAATAATCATGTTGCTGATGCTTGGCCGTCTGTCCTATTCTGACAGGTAGTAAGAGAAACCATTCCACAAAGTGTCTGATTGGAAATCATAAAATTCTAATAATTGTACAATTCTTATGATTTTTATCAAGGCAATTCTTCCTAATACACACAAACACACATATTTCATTTTGAATGTTTCTGTTTTTTAGTATGCTGATACATTATTACTCCTCTCCCCGTTACATAAAGTGAAAATAATCAAAACAAAATGAGAGTGAATAACACAGAGAGAGATTTTAAAATGCCCCAAATAATTTAATATTTCAGTAATGATCAATTGGGTTAAAAATTCTAATATCAGATGAAGACTCCATTGGGCTGAGCTCTATTCCTTGTGACCACGTGATCATGTCTATTACTTTACCAAACAAAAATATGGAGGTGGTCTTCCACTACCATTTTCCAGGAAGTTTTTTTTTTTTTCAATTCTTCAGTTTAACTCTAGACCACAGTTTTGTGGTAGTCTTCAGTATGATTATACTCCTATTAATAAGGGGTTGGTCGTCCCCTCCGTCATTTGATGATGGTCTTCTACAATGAGTTCCTATTTCTGACAATTCAGATCTAAGTCCTATGATGTTCAGTAAGACTTAATGCCAAGCAAACACTGGCCAATATAAAACTACCTCTGCCACAGAAATAAACAGTACAAATCCAAAATACATCTACAATCTGCCTTCCAGACTACTTATTTTTCTTTGTGTTTCTTTTAGTCTTTGGGCACTTTTTCAAACAAAACCCTGGGATAGAAATGCCTACAATATTTTATTTCTTAAGAAAGCCCATAAAGCTGTAGAGGTTTTCTTATACACTAAAGATATTAGATATCATTTATTGTTCTGCAGCATGTTAATTTCATTTTAAAAAATAATTAGTTTAAAACAGTTTTTATAAAAAATTAAACGTGATTCAAGGAACCTGGTAGAGCCAAGGCAATTATGTTGTTCACTGTGGATTTCTTCCTGTCATATTTACTACTGCAAAGTGGTGTAGTTTATGTTTATGTTGTTTTGAAAAAAACCATAAAGAGCCACTGGAAATCATACCACAATGAATATGTAGGGTAGAGGTTGTGCTTAACCAATCAGCTTCGAGCTTCTCCCATTTACCTCCATGCCATCAAGAATTGCAGTGAAATCAATTGGGACATAGAGCTGCTCCTCCAACTGAGGCATCCAAGCTGCCTCACTCAATGGAATGTTTATCAGATTCAAAATTCAAAAACATCTCCCAGAGCATTGAGAGCAGAAGGGAATGGAGGAGTTAAAAACAAGGGAAAAGCTAATTTTAGCATGAAAAAACAACTGTGTTAAAGAATTTGATTAAATATTTTATATCTTTACCAAAAATCTACTTTAGAAAGCATGTAAGGAACTATTTACTTAAGGGTTTCTTCAGTTTTCAGATGAAATAACTGCTGTTGTGGGAGGCTATATCTCTGAATGAACTCTGATTATAATACCCTTAACTGAGACTAGCCAAGATTTGTTGCTTTCTAAGTCATTAGTCTTCTCCCCACGAACTGCTCCCCATATTCATATACATTCATATGCAGTATATTGTAGTCTCCACCTCCTAGAACACATGAACATATTGCTGTGTTACATAAATAAAGGAAGGGCAAAGTCTTCTGGTTAAATTAGCAAAAAAAATTTTCATGAATCCTGCTCTGACATACTTTCTTTCTTTCTGATCCCAACATGACAGCACAAAACATACTCAATAACCTCTGCCTTCCAACTAACTTGCCAACATGCCTTTTTGAATTGTCCTGTGAGTCCTCCTATTTGCTTCTATTACCTTGTTTTACCTTACATTATAGGATGCAAGGCAGTATTCAAGGCAGCTCTTCAATTTTGTATAGGAAATTAGTTCTGAATAATAATTATGAATCTTGCTGCAGGTAAAAAAGTCAATATCATAAAAGAAAAAAACAGCTTTAATTAAAAATCAGGTAAGGGGGGGTGGACAGACATTAGCCAAAATCCAGATTCCACTTCCCAACCTTGCATAGAAAAATGAGTGTGAAAAAGAAAGAGGGATGAGAGGGAGAAGGTTAAAAAGGAAAGGGCTTATTGAGACTGCTGCTTCCACCATTGAAAATAGGCATGTAGAAGAGTGAAAGAGGAAATGACATAAAAAGGCCCCACATCTTTATCTTTTCTATTGTCAACCATATGCAAATCACTTATCAAGATTTGTGATGGCATGATTCCTTCATGAAAAACCAACCATTCCTTAATGAAAGACCTAAATTCCAAGTTTAAAGCACAGGCCTGGGACAACCAGGTCTCAAAATAA